CTACTATTTCCCACTCAATGTTGGTTTTTTAATCATGTTGAATTTCTATTTTACATTCAGAAATTCCATTTCTTTTCTAGTTTTTGTTAAGTTCGTTCCTATACAAATTTCCCATGGATTTATATTTTACAATGTAAAAATTGGCATAAAGTATTTTTAACAATCCTTCTTTATTGTCCAGTATTGTTCCATATGGCATCTTCTCTTATTCCTGGTTCTCTGTCCTGCTAATATTTGATTTAGTCTTGACAAATCACTTTATCCCTTCCTTCCTTCCTTCCTTCCTTCCTTCCTTCCTTCCTTCCTTCCTTCCTTCCGACTGAACATGAGTCCTTAGGAGTGCTTGATGAGCACTCTCATTGAGCTATACCTCCAGCCATTTATTAGTCTTTTTTTAAAGAACCATCTTTAGGTGTCATAAACTTACTTGCATTTTCAATTACTTCTTTATTTTACTTTCTTTGAATGTATTTACTGTTATTTTCTTTTTTATTGTTGTTTGTTTACTTTACATCCCAATGCAGCTTCCCTGTCCTCCTCTCCTCCCAGTCCTTGCCTCTCATCTCCCCTCCCATCCCATCTATCCATCCTCCCTTTCCTCTCAAAAAAAAAAAAAAAAAAAAAAAGGAGGTATCCCAGAAGCAGAAAGACATATGTGGTTTAACTCACTTATAAGTGGATATTAGACATATAATATAGGAAAATCATACTAAAAGTTTTACACCTAGAGAAGCTAAGCAAGGAAGTGAACCATGGGGAAGATGATCAATCCTCATTCAGAAAGGCAAATGGGATATACATCAGAAGAGGGAGAAAACAGGGAACAGGAAAGGAGCCTACCACAGAGGGCCTCTGAAAGACTCTACTCAGCAGGGTATTAAAGCAGATGCTGAGACTCATAGCCAAACTTTGGGCAGAGTGCAGGGAATCTTATGAAAGAAGGGGGAGATAAAAAGACTTGGAGGGAACAGGAGCTCCACAAGGAGACCAACAGAACCAAAAAATCTGGGCCCAGGGTTCTTTTCTGAGACTGATACTCCAGCCAAGGACCACCCATGGAGACAACCTAGAACCCCTGCACAGATGTAGCCCATGGCAGCTCAGTCTCCAAGTGGGTACCTTAGTAAGGGGAACAGGAGCTGTCTCTGACATGAGCTCAGTGGTTGACTCTTTTATTACCTCCCCCTGAGAGGGGAGCAACCTTACCAGTCCACAGAGGAAGACAATGTAGCCAGTCCTGATGAGATCTAATAGGCTAGGGTCAGATGGAAGGGAGGAAGACCTCCCCTATCGGTGGACTAGGGGAGGGGCATAGGAGGATAAGACGGAGGGAGGGCGAGATTGGGAGGGGATGAGGGAAGAGGCTACAGCTGGGATACAAGGTGAGTAAATTGTAAAATTTTTTTTTAAAGGGAAGTCTTTCATAGATGTCAACCAGCCTTGGTGTATCAAGTTACAGTAAGACTAAGCGCATCTTCTCCTTTTGAGGATAGATGAAGCAGGGCATTTAGGTGAATGGGATCCAAAGGCAGGCAGCAGAGTCAGAGACAGCCTCTGTGCCTGCTGTTAGGAGGAGTCCCGCATGAAGACCCAGTTCAACATCTGTTACATATGTGCAGAAGAAGGTCTAGGTCCATCCCATTCAGGTTCTCTGGTTGGTGGTTCTTACTGTTGTTTTTCTTATTTCCTAAGATGGATGCTAGCTACTAATATTGAGCCTTCTTTTATAATTGTATCTTTATCCCTATAAAGTTCCTCTTGAATACTCCAGGGTTTTTTTTTTACTCACTCCCACAATCTTTTCCATAAAAATATTACCATACATTTCAAAATATGTTTTGATTCTCACCCTAATTCATTTTACCCACTAGTTATTTAGAACTGTATATCTTGACTACACAACTACAGATATTTTCTAGCATAAATGATTATTTTTTTTCAGGTACTTGCCTTATTTTCAATGCAATTGTGTGTCTTTATAGTTGAGTCTATTAAAATATATGGGAATTGCCTTACGCCTAATAGGTGACTACAGGTTATAAATGTTCTCTGTTTGTTTAGGAGGTTGTGAGTGCTGTATTCTGGACACACTTAGGTCGGCTCATGTTGCTATCATCACCGCTCACCCATAAGACTTCCCCGTGGTCCCGTGATGATGATAATGGATTCTTCTTTTTATCGTTACAGTTCAACTTTTTCCTTCAGATAGCTTGAGGCTATGTAAGAAGTGAAATAAAATTGTTTTATTTCCTCTAAAAGGTGAGCCTTTTCTTAATGTGAAGGTTTGTTTATAGTCTGTAGCATCTCTGTGATTCTCAGGCTACTTTGATGACAGTCCTTTAGCTACTGTAGTTTCATGGTGGGCTTCTGGAAACGAGTCTCAGTGCATCTGTGCTATTCTGAATTGTGACATCCTCAGCAAACAATCTACATTTCACAACTATAAAGAGTATTCATATGTATATATTTTTTTCATCTTTTTTTTTTTTTTGACTCCTTGAATGCCTTATCGTTAGTAATGGAGTTTTGGCCTGACTGTGTCCTTTGCCTTCTTTTCAAAATCTTTATATTTGAGTTCCAGTCTCTCCAAGGTACCCAGACTATTTTGGTATTTGCAACTACACTGGATATTGGAGGACTAAGTACTTAGATAATTTGGTAATTCTTTTAAAACTTAGTGTCAGCCTCTCTGTGTGTACACATACAGTCACGTGGCCATGGCACGCGTAAGGAGGTCAGAGAATAAAGTTTTGAAGTAGGCTTTCTCTTTTCTTTCTCCGCTTCCACAGATAAAGCTCAGCTTCCCAGACTTGTGTGGCATGCACCTTTACCCTACTCTAATAATTTAGTAACTCTGAATGTCTTCTAGAACTTGAAAGATGAGAGGACTTTTTCCCCCCCCTTGAAGCATTTTTTCTTTCAGTCCTGGCAAGCCTAAGATGGCTTAGAGGGTAAAAATTCTTGCAGTCAAACCTGAAGACCTGAGTTTTATTGGCAGGACCCGTATGATGGAGAGAAAACTAATTCTCTCCACACATGTGCCATAGAATTAACTTGTCCCTCCTTCCCAATAAGTAGATGGAGTACAAAAAAGTGTTTTCAGAAATTGAACACAACTGTCTATTGTGGTCCTTCCAACAATCAAATTTTTCCACAATCATCTTATTTTAGTAGAAAATGTCACCTTTGTGACCCAGAACAAGGTCAAACTGGGTGCCATTTTGCTCTCACATTAAGCGGTATAGTCATGATGTTGATAGGTGCTTCTGGAAAATTCTGAAGACTACATGATTCAGTTTTTGTTTAAACATTCTTTGTTTGTTTTGGTGAGGATAAGATATGGTTTGCCTTGATGGGTATATTTCCAGGCTGCTTCACTAAGTGTTTTTATGTCAGAATAGCAACTCAAAGGCACATTGAAGGTAATTGCTTCTGTAAAAGCATTCAGAGATTGGGACTTCTCTTCTCATGGTGATGTTCATCAATCCTATTATGAAAACACTGACTTCACTTCAGTTTTTCTGCCTTCTGTCTTGTGATAGATGATACAAAAAAAGGCCCTTGCCAGGGCCTGGTGCTGTGTTACTAGGCTTGAAAATCGCTAGTACTCTAAACTACATTTGTGTTTGTAAATCACCTAGTCTTGGGCATTGCTGTGATAACACAAAACAGTCTAAGTTTGAAAACTGGAACACTAGCTACATAATTTAAAGGGCAGCAAAACTGCCCGTGTGAAAATTCAGCATGGGAGAATAATAAGTTACTGTCCAAACAGAGAGGAGCATTTTCTGGCCTTGCCTGGCATCTTTCTCTAGGTCCTTAGGCTGCATAAGCCTCCTCCGTCCTAAGATATTCCAATCAAAAAAACAACCTTTAGATCCTTCTTTTCAATCAATCTCCATAGAAAGATTTTCCACCAAGGTGTATTTGGGGGCCAGTTTAATAAAGAAGATGAGCAATCAGAGGGCTTTGATTTTATTGTCAAGAGATCAAGTCTCAGTCTTAATATTGTTCATGTTCAGAGTGCAGTTTTCAGTGAGTCCATTGAACCTCAGTGGTTTTTCTAGAAACATTGTCTCCAGTGCCTCAGGAATTCCACAGTGCAGACTCTATGACTAGAAGATGTTCTAGTCATGAAGTATCTTAATATCTGTGCATTGATGTCACTGTATATAATGTGGCATATTTTGGCAAACAAAAAATTGTAGCACTGAACAAATGAGTTGATCAAAAACAATTACAATTTTTTTAATTTAAATTTCTTTTTAAAAAATAAATTATTCACTTTATATTCTGTTTGTAGCCCCCTCCCTGGTCTCCTCCCAGTCCCACCTTCCCACCTCCCTCGTCCCCCTTTTCCCTTTCCTTATTTCTCAGAAAGGGTGAGCCCTCCTCCCCTACCATCTGACCCCAGCCTATCAAGTCTCATTAGGACTGCCTGCATCCTCTTCCTCTGTGGCCTGGCAGTATGCCTCCCCCAACCCCCATCACCAAGGGGAAGTGATCAAAGAACATGCAGCCACAATTAAAATTTCAAAGAAGTGTTTTTTTAAAAAACATGTGCTTTTATGTTGCTTCTAAACCATTGCTATAGTTTGTATCATTGCCTAAAAGAACTAAACAAAAACCTTGTACCTTTGCTTGGGGCCAGAATATATGTAATTATATTCTATTACATCTCCCTAGTATATAATTTTCCACCTGTAACTTGAAGTCACCATTCCTATGTGTCCCCTCCTTGAAAAATTTATGTTCTGCTAGCACTGTTTTGGATAAAGTCTGGTTGGATTTCCACTTGTTGTTAGTCTAGAATGTTTAGCCAGCTTGCTCATTGAGGATTAGGTGGATGGGGAGAAAAGGACTAAAATGGTGCACTTACTTGAGACCTAGCCCCTTGCAGTTCAGTAGAACTACTGAAAAGAGCAGTAATGCAAGTTAGACATGACTGCATCAAATGGCTGCTGAAACAAAATCATTACCACATACCAGAGGGACATGAAACCAAGGTTTATTAAAATACCCTTAGCGTATTTACAAGTTGAAGCTGTGAATGCAATTCTTTGGAAATTCAAAAAAATAGAGTTCTATCTTTTAAAACAAATCAACAGAATATGAATAGATTAGGATATATATAATCCATCACGGAGATAGAATTTCTCTCAATAGACAATCTAAATTTTTCTAACCAATATATATTATGTACAAAAATACACTTGATATAATAATCAAGTAGTGTTGAGAAGAAAAAATATATATACACACATATTTTCACTATGTACAAGTTGATATTGGCTCCTTCACCTTTTCTTTTTAAGAATAAATACTTCATTTGGTTGCAAATTACATTTACAAATTCAACTCATGAACATTTCTCAGTGTTGAAGCAATTAAATATGCAAATTAGAAATACATATTGTTTTTAACTTAAATGGAAAATACCATACCCAAATCCAGTTAGCTTATTATGTTTAGAAACATTCAAGAGCATGTAATATAAGGTTTCATGTCTCTAAAGTGCCTTCTTCTTTCCAAAGCTGTCTTCCTTCTATTGGTTAGCGCTACATCTACAGATTGGTCTAACAGTTCAAGTTCAGAAAGGCTGAATCTTAACATGACAAAATAGTAAACTATTCAGGACATGCTACACTTTCTATGAGTGCTTTTAAGAGCATAACAAGTTACTGTTAATCTGAAAATAACCACAAAATGTCAACATCCCGATTCAGATGGTGGTAGATGTTTGAGTCATGAGTGGTAGTAAGAATGGAGTGGTGATAACAAGTGTTATGATTCAAATTGTTTGCACAGAGCTCCATTTGTCCGGCAGCACAGGAAGCTCAGACTCCAAGAGTTAGCCTTGTCGTGGATGGTAACCTGCTGTGACGGATCAAAAGTGTTCTCTAATTAGATAGTTTAAAAATCTACGAGAAGCCAACAACCAGAACACCCGGCCTTTTTAATAAAGTAGAACAAAATGAAAAACGAAATGCATTAATGCATTTTCCACTTTCTTTATGGATTTTTCCCTCTTTGCTCAAGTGATGAGGTGATGCTGACATTAATGAGAGGCAGTCTCGGCGGTGTGTCTCACACAGGCTCCTTGGTGACAGTGGTGCTCTGTCCAAACACTGAACGCTGGAGCACAGGGTGTGAGAGTTACATGGGACAGTCAGTGTCTATGCTGCAGAGGTAGAGAGTAGCTGCAGGGTCCCTTCAGGAGAGAAGGGCTGCGGTCTATGAAGGGAGGGGAGGCTGAAGATGAAGTGTGGGAAGGAGGAAAGCTAGAGGACACTGGGTGCTGAGAGGGCTTGGGAGCAGCCTTAGAGGGAACAGGAAGGTCCTTGGCCAAGTGACACTTGTAACAGAATCTGAAGCATGAACCAGTCTCATTGGAGGACCTGCCTTTGCAGCACGGAGTCTGTCATTGAGCTATAACAACATATGGGACACCCCTATTTTCCTAATACAAATTACTTCAATTTCTATTAAAAGCTGTCCCTAGCATTATCATGGTGATAGTCGTGCAAAGCACTGCACTGGATTTGTTCAGTTTTTCTTCTCTCCTGCTTGCTGGTTTTCCTCAGTCATCCCATACTGCCTGAGATCTCAGAAGGTGGATGGGAGACGCTTGCAGAGGTTGCATGAATCTTAGGAAGCAGGCTCCGTGATCCCAGGTGGTGCTAAGAAAATTAAACCGAACCAAGCCAAACCATAAATGACTTGAAGTGACTTACATTTCTGTAGCATCTGACTTGTATTAGGATGCTAACTGATTTCAGGGAGTTTCTAGACATGCAGGCCAATGTTTATTTTCCAGGCCAAAACACGATCCCTAAATCAAAGTTCAGGGAGACCGCTTCCCACACTAGTCTGGATTATAACTCAAAGACTGGAAAAGACTGTGATGAATTGATGACATGCTTCCGCTAAAGGTTCTTAAAAAATATCCAGTGTCTAATTTGTAAACTTTCTGCCTCTCAAAGAGTATCTTAGATTGTTCCCTTAAAGGGAAATCCTTTTTTCTAAAAGCATATGCCTCAAAGATTACACACCCAGTGGACAGCAGGACAGCAGGGGCGGAGTCTTTTTGTCTCAGGAAGCTTTAAAGTAGCAGAATTATAAAATTAATGATTTTGGAAGAAACCTATGTCTTTGGTAGACCCCGCAATCCTACTTGAATCACCGCAGAATCAGTTCAAGATCTTCTTCTTCTTTACTCATGGGTTTGTTTCTAAGAGTAGCGAATGCCTTCCAAGATCAGTTTGAACCACTAGCGAGACTGACGGTAAGACAGGAGAACTTAGGTTACATCCAGAGAAAGATGATCAGAAGAGGGGGCTGGAGAAATGGGTCAGTGGTTAATAGCGCTTGCTGCTCTTGCAGCAGGTCCAAGTTCAGTTCCAACTACTCACACAGTTGCACGCACACTGTTTGTAACTCCAGTTCCAGGGGGATCTAACAGCCTCCTTCTGGCTTCTGCAGACACCAGGGACACTGGCGGTGCACATACATACATGAAGGCACTCAAATAAAAACGAGTATATCTTTAAAAAAAAATAGAAAAAAAAAGATAATTTGTGGTTCACAAAACATACCTACAATGCAAGTATTCTAAATGCTTCTTGGCCTTTCGATGGATGAGCAGTATAATTTTTGTGCATGCTGAGTGCTCCTTTTTATACACTGTACAGACATAAGAGAGATTAAAATTCATTCCATGGACCTCCAGAATTGCTCATTGCTGAACAGCTATCACGAATGCTAGGGGGAGGCAGAGTAAACCTCCCTGGGTGCTCAGTGGTCTCCAGGGCTGGCCTTTGAGAAGTATTGACATAGAAAGCCAACTAAGGTGAACAATTAAAAATAACTCGCCTCCTAACAAGGAAGTTGAAGAAAGTCCTGGGAGGAAATAGCATTGGAGAGCAGCCATGACTTTGGTAAGCCATGTTGACATACACTTGATTTCCTACCTGATATAAGTACAAGATAACACACTGGAAACTCGCACTATTTATTGGATGTATATTCTAAGACATTTTTACAGCTTCAGAAGTGGAGCACACAAGATATTCTTAAGGTAAGCACTCAGCCTAGATGGCGCCCCTGATGTCTTAGTGCCGGTCTATTCCCTGTCACATCCTTGGGGTGTTCATTTCTGCCTGAGCACACTGACTCACTCGTGTCTCGGTTGCCAGTGCTATCACATTTCACACGAACCATGAAAAACGACCGTGGAACCACAGAAGCAGTTGGGTCAGTGTCCAGTCTTGTACACTTAAGACTGAAAACCAGACAATTACCTGAGGACAGATGGAGTTTGTAGCGCGAAGTGTACGGAGTATGCAGGCGTGGTCTGTTACTTAAAACCAAACAAGTTAACTAAGGATGGGTCAGTCTCTTCTGCACCAATTCATTTTTTTTTTTTTTTTTAAATTTTGCAGGGTTCATGCGAGCTACAGACTGAAGGGAAGAGAAATAAAAGGGTCTCAGTGGCACTGGTCCTCCACAGAGCGTTTGGGGATGAGTTGATACAGAGTGGGGAATGCACACCAGTACGCATGCTCAAGGACAGCACATGGCTCCTTTTGCTTTTCTAGTAATTCTTTTGGTAGAAGCCTGACGACAGCTGAAGAGACCCAGTCAGAGAGCTATTGTTTTAACGTCTCCATGTTTCTGAGTAAGCTGTTAAGTAGTCATATTTCCCAAATGTGATATAAGGCGTTATCTTGGAACAAACAAGGCTACTCAACTGGCTTGGTGTGAAACGCGCTGAAACTCTTAAATTCACCCCTACCTGGCAAAGAGTTTGGTAGATTGCCCATCCTTGCGGAGGGAAGTGAAGAATGAAGAAACCAATAAGAACTACTAACAAGGAGCCAGCAGCTGACAGGGAAGCAGGAATGACAGAACGTGCCGCTCAGTCCTGTGCAGCTGTGTAACTGAGCATGCTTGTGCCTGGATCCAGTAGCCACCAAAATAAAACACTTGTGTAAGCCCGAGTGAGGGTAGAGCTGCTGAGGTGAGTGTTTGGAGGTGATTGCCTTTAAATCGATTCTGTATCAGCCATGGCTTCAAAGCGGCTGGGTTGTTTCTTTCTATAGCCGAAAGATGAAAACATATCCGATGTTATCTGCTTCTGGTGAGAGCTAAAAGTTAATCCATTCTTTTAGAACCTTATCAGTTTCAGAACAGACCTGTCTCACCCGCATCGCAGATTTCTTTATGTAGATGAAGTAGCTGGCATGGGTGAAAGTTCATTGCTTTATCCAGTCCACTCTACTTAGCTGCAGGGTCCCTTAAGCCCAAATAGCTGAACTCTGAATTGCCTGGTCTTCTGATGTTCTACTCATTTATAAGCTCCTCTTAGGAGACTTCATAGGAAGAACACAGACACATCCAACTCCAGGACACCATACTTTTCTCTAAGGGGCTTTTTCTAGACTGAGTCTCCTAAGACAATCTTAGGCTCTTTCATAGGAAAAATGGCCGGCATAAGCTGCAGTCTCAGGTGAGGATGGCAGGAGCTTTGCTCCCTCCCAGCAGCCATCACAGCCATTCAATTTCATATCTGTTTCCTTAGGGCTGCTGCCACTTTGGATTTCATAGTCTCTGTTTTGTGATCCAGTAATTACACTTATTTGTACATTACCAAATCGATGGAAACAGAGGCTTTCCCGTCATCTTTTGGTATTGTTTTCTTTGATAAGTACAGGCAAAGTAAAATGAAAAATTAAAAAAGAAAGGAAATATATACTTCTTGCTAGTGTTTTTTAACAGAATTTAAACTACTTTGTAAAATGAGATATTTGGGACAAAACTATCCTTTTAGGCTTTTTTTTTAATTTATTTTGCCATATCATGTCCCCTGTTGGTATTTTAAGATTTATTTTTATTTTTTAATTATGTGAATATATGTATGTCTCTGTATGGTACATGTATGACTGTGTGTGTATCTGTGCATGTGAGTGCAGCTGCCCATGGAGAACAGAAGAGGATGTCAGATTCCCCAAGATAGAGTTATAGGTGATTGTGAGCCACTCGACATGGGCACTGGAATTCAGATTTGGGCCACCCACAAGAACAGTACATGCTCTTAACTGTTGAGCCATCTCGGAAGCATCCTTATCCTAATTGGTTTTATCTTTGACTTTTTAAGGGGGCAGGGTAAATACTACAGAACAGACTTAGGATGCTAGGAAACAAAGCATCCCCAACCCCCAATGGTATGATCTACTTCCGGATAGCCTGCAGGATCTGCTGTGTCCTAGAAGGGCAGAGAGACAGTGCCATCTATGACGACTCATGTGCACATTAGAGATCTGAGTCAGGTAGCATTGACACCACCAAAAGCCTTCTGCTCCTACTCATCCCATTCACGGGATCCATAAAGGTCTATGCATATGCAGCTCTCATGGAATGCTGAGGTGATTCCTGTGGCATAGACAAAACTGCATTTTTCATTGCACTTCAACAAGGACACCATGGAGTGAAGGGTGTCTACAGGTGGAATTTACCTTGCTTGTTAAGGCTCTTGCTCTTCTCCATAGTTAAGAGTGAGAATGAAGAGAAACAAAATCAAGAAGCAATGGGAAAAGACCAGCAATGTCAAGCCAATCTAGTCATGCCAAGTTCCTTATCTGGTTGTCTATTTTGTCTCATCCCTTCGTTTTGATTAAAATAAACCATGCAGCCATACTCCCTCCTTTGAGCAACCGAAAGACAGTTAGCACCTGAATGAAAATAGCATCTGTAACTTATTAGATGCCAGCTACTCTTGCTTCGCAAGGTTTGCACAACATCAGGCTATGGTACTGCCTTTATTAGCTTGTATCTGTTATCGGAGTGTCCCTGAGTTGGGGGCTGACGACTGGCAGGCAGATTCTGGGAAGACACTTAGTGTATCTGGCAAGTTCAAAGTTTCTAGAAAGTTGCTGAGGCAAGAGGCAAGCCACACACGAGTCAGCCGGAGATAGCCAGATCAACAAAAGACACAAGATGCCGAGCAACTCCAGACTGTCTCCAACGACAAGAAAAGAAAACATAGAAGCCACAGTCTTCAAGACAGTCCTCCGTTCTTTCCCAGTCCCATTTCTTACTCTCCCAAACAGGGGTAGCTTAGGGGGGGAAGGTAGGAAAAAAAGATCTAAGTGGCTTTTCTCTGTGATTTAAGGGCTAGAGTTAGAAAACACAACCTGTCCCTGACATTCCATTCAGAGACTAATATTAACATACCCTCCTTATTTTCACTTTATTGGAAATAACTTTTTTCTGCTCATAAGTTTTTAGATACCAAATAGTCCCTTCGTTATCTTCCTTCACAAACTTATGAGTTAAGGTCATAATCACGGTAGAGAGTAGCATTTGCTCTCTTGTCTGGACACTTCTCGGGGTGGTGGAAGAGACTGGGCCACAAGTAGTAGACTACAATGTAGACATCATCTGCGTATCAGCATAGCATTCATTCTCTGTCCATAATGGATTTACAACCACATAGTTCCTCACCCAAGTGAGTACTCTTGATCCAAGTCCTTCCCTGCCCTTTTTCTGTTAAAGTTGATATAGATTCTCTACTGGCCAGGAAGCCATGTTAACTGAATGGGTCTATCTCATGGCTGGTGTTCACTCCCAGCATTGTAACTCCTTCTCCAGAATAAGGTTTATGATTATTATTCTCTCTCCACCCATGTGAAATTTCAATTCTTTCCTTTTCATTATATCATCATCATCACCACCATGATCCCCATCATCATCATCACCATCATCATCATCCTCAAAAATTATTTTCCTAGTCTGGGAGATACACAGTAATAAACCTCTTAAAAAATAGTCCTGGTAAGTTTCAACATTTTTGGTGAAAATGCCATAGGATCTTGATACAACAGGATCAAAATTAAGATCAACAAAAAACTATACTGTGTGAGGATCAAAGCTTGAGTTCTCTCAAGGCAATCAGCATAAAAGATTTCTTTTTTTGCATGACAAGGTTGTACATTGGAAAGCTTAGAATTTCAGCTTTAAATAAAATGTGAAAAAAAGGCATATCTCCTGATCTTATTATAGGGTGGACTTTGGACTTGCATAAGGAAGAATTATTAAATATTCCTGTAATATTCCTATACATAGCTTTGTATTGTTCCCATGGCTGACAAAGAAGGCACAAGGCGAGTTCTGCAGGTGACCTCGGAAGGAGATAAGCAAATATTCTGTGACAGGCATCTCAGGAACTCCCCTTGGCGCTTGTGTCTGAAGGAACACTGAAGCGCCTCCTGTCACGCCGCAATTTCCTTCGGCTTTAATCTTAGTTGGTGGCCACACTGGCTTCCTTCTGACGCAGTCTTTCTTTCTGTTGTTTAAGAGAAAAGCAGATCTGTTGTCATTTTTACTTTTTTCTTCCCAAGTTTTGATAACTTTTTTAAATTCTGGCCCAAAATGAAGAGTATAATTGTACTAAATACCCTAGAAATTAAGGTTATTTCTACCGTTTTTCCTTCTTGGATCCCCAGTTGCATGATTCTATCAACCTCCCATACAATGTGGAGAAAGATATTCCCATTGTCTCATTATTGATGTTCCTCAGCACAGCATCCATACCTGCTGGAATTCATTTATGGAAGCAAGAATAGTAGCTAACAGTTACTGAACCTCTACTGTGTAGCTGCTGCTCTACCTGCCTTTCCCCAGTTTGTTCAAAATAAACCCAAGTTAAAGGTGGTATCACCATTGCCCTCTTTTCCTTGAAGAGAATGAAGTAAAGTAACTTCATAAGGTCTTAGAACAATGCTGAGATTTAAACCTTTTCTGTATTCTTCCCAGTGATCCCGAGTTCCTAATCAGGTATCAGTTCTGACTAATGTCTGTTTGATGGTTAATGTTCATTTCAACCTGACAAGATCTGAAATCTCATGGGAGAAAGCCTATCATGCATCTGTGAGGGGTTACTTAATCTCTGGACACACCTATGACAGGTTATGTTGATTAGGATAATTGAGGTATGAAGACCTGCCCACTATGGATGTCATCATACAGGCTGGACTCCTGAAGGGAGACAGTGAGCTAAGCTCTAGTATTCACAGCTTTCTGCTTCTTGACTGTATCAAGAATGTGACAAGAAGCCCCAAGCTCCTGCTTTTGCGACTTTACCACCTCAATAGACTGTACCTTCAAACTGTGAGCCAAAATAAACCCTCTTTTCCTTTAAGTTGCTTTTGCCAGGGTATTTTATCACAGCAACATGAAAGGTAACTAGGGCAGTCTGTGACACATAGATGGAGAATCGTTGTGACCTCTATGTAACAGTAGAGGAACATTCTCAAGCTTAAGGAAGAATAAGGAGACTGGCTGGTTTCTAGTGCAAGGAAGAACTGTGAGGAGACCCCCATCCCTATCTGGGCAGGTTTCTTTGTCATCTATTTGCCAAGTGACATTAGGCAGACTGTCTAATTTTGCATCTCAAGTCTCTTAATCCCTCCTAGGGGATGTCCTGCCTTCTTCTCTAATAGAATGAATGATGGTGAATACTCAGGAACCTTTCAGGAGGAAGGCACCTGGAGATAAGAGAGACGTGGAGATGGATATGAAATCCAAGTGACACAATTTACTTTACCACAAATGAGGTGATATCACTGTTAGGTTTGCAGTGGAAACACAGGAAACCATGCTTTGCCCCCTCGTGCCTAATTTTTGTTTTTAGATCACATGGTATTAGGATGGGAGGAAGGATGCCAAAACCCCATTTCTTCCCCGCATTTTGTCCTTTAAATTCACAGACACTTGGGAGTGTACCCAGCTATAATGAAAAGTCTAGAGATCACAGTAAAAAATGTGGCTTACTAGACTAGCGGTGGGATTGATTTTCTTTGTCTCCACTTTCTTCTCTGAGGTCAGTTTGCTCACAGATGCCTGAGCCATTTTCAACCTGAAATAGAAACGTGAGGGGAGGGATGAAATGAAAGGAAGAGGAGAAAAAAAAGAAAAGTAAAGGGGTTGAGTTAAACAGAAATTCCCAATACTTTGGAATGCAAAGCTCAGTGGTCAGTATTCTGTCAGTCCATTAAATGTCACATAACCCTGAGCATACAATCTGACAAATGCGTTGTTAAGACATTGTCTTCACAGTGACAGTAAATAGCCACAAATCCCGGTGGGAAAGCCCACAAGAACACCTGCAATATAAACCTGTAGGGAATGTTCCCGCGCTGAATGCAGCAGGCAACTATGACGCACTGGTAAGGGTATCAAAACAAAGAAAAGGCACGTCGTAAATATCAGACACATATTTTTTTTTTCCTCCGTTATACTTTTCATAGGACTGTTGTTTATGTGGTCTGTTGTGGGCCAGAATGACATTATCTGATGCATAACCGTAGCCAGGTGCTTTGGAGAGCACGCTGCTAGTGCGTTCAAACTCTAGCTATAATGCTCTCGGCTCAGCCACAGCTCAGTTTTCACGAGAGAGCCCACTGAGGTGAACAAGGCGGAGGCTGTGCTATTGTGAACAGCACAGCAGTTAGGGATGAAGAGAATTCTATGTCCATGGGCCACCGCTGTCCAATGTGCTTGGGCCTATTATCTGCACAGGAGAGAGAATGCTGAGAGAATTTTGGAAAATTTCAAGAAAACACATGAACACTGTAAGTATCAAAGTTATAACTTCCCTGAAGTAAAGTGAAAAGACAAGCTAAAAATGGAAAGAAAAACTGCAAATCATCTATCTAATATAGGGCTTTTGTACAGAAAAAAAAAAATATATATATATATACACAAAAGATGAATTATGATTCCCAACAACTAATAAATGTGTTAATTAATATACATTTACTTTAATGTAAATAAATATATTTACAAAACAATATAGACACTTAAAGTTCAAGGAACATCAAAGAAGAGGGGGCAGAAAGATTGTAAGAGCCAGAAGATCAGGATATCTGCTGATAAAATAGCTTTTCTAAAAACAAACAAACAAACAAACAAACAAACAAAAAATGAGGACACAGGAGTAGGGGAGTGGTAGGTGAATAAGATAAAGATATTTCCAAGAATTAATTAAAATGTTAATTTTTAAAGATAAATTACTCTCTCCACAAATGGGCAGATTCAAATAAACATTTCTTCAAAATGTTTGATATTGCACATAGTCAATAGGTACATGAAAAGAATTATACTGTCATTAATAGACTGGAAAACACTAAATTATGATAGAGGTGATTGCTACAAAAACAGGAGACAAAATGAGACTGAGTAGAATTGTAATTTTGCTACTGTTTTGAATTGTAATATAAATATCTGTGCAAGCAAACCTTGTAAAAGGGTCATTCGAGCCCAAAAAGATGGCAACCCATAGGTTGAGAACTACTGTTCTAAGGTGATGCATTTTTACTTTTAAATTTTCCTAAATTTCTAAAGAAAACAATTACCTATTTAAAGATTGACCAATTCATAGATATTTAAAATTTAGCATTTTTTCTTTTAAGGTTTCAAATTAAACAACAACAACAACAAAAAACCCTTTCATCTTAATTGTGTACTGTTATCATCTACAAATGGCAGAGTGGCTTGACTCTTAGAGGACTTGACACAACTGTTTAGAACATGTATTCACCAATCCAGTCTTCCTGCTGACATGTAGAATGTGTTCCAATGAGCTCAACATGCCAACTGATACATCAGAAAGTAAATAAAATGAAACAAAGAGGAGTAATATTTTTTAGAATCCAAGAAGAAATACATCTGGTAAGGATGCCCAGAGACAACTGCCCACTGAAACTTCCCATTTGAAGCAACAACTGTGACTGATATATCCAGTCAAGAACAGAACATAGACCAAATCCACGTCAGACTAGACTGGAAAGTGACCATTTGGAGGGGTTTTCCAGCTTAGATGATGGAGATGCAAAAGAATCCTCAGCTTGTGTTCTTCCTGGAGTTTTTTCACCTAGGATTCTGTTCAGAGAGCAATTATTATCTATCTCAGGGTCCCTAACTTGAAGGACACAATTTGGCTCATTATTTTTGCTTCAATAGTTCTTTTCTACAGGTCAATTCTGGCCCGTGCTTTTGGAGCTGGCCTTCTACCTGGCTTCTGAATAGCACCACCCTCCCACTTCCTCAGTGTCTTGTTGGCTCTGTGACCCCGCTCTTTGGGCCTCTGGATATCAGAGAATTGGGGCCGTGGAAGTCACTGTGCAAGTTAATAAATCACGAGGGACTGGGAACTAATTCACAACCCTGTGCCCACTGCAACACTCTACTAGCGGCCTGTTACCTAAATGAACATTTGCTTTGGCAGAGTAGATTCTGTCATGTCTTCTGGCACCTGCCTTTAAGGTTCATATATCTTACTGTGTTGTGATCTTTTTTTTTTATTAATTTTATTTTTTTCTTATCAGTTACATTTTATTAACTCTGTATCCCAGCCGTGTCCCGATCCCTCATTCCCTCCCAGTCCCTCCCTCCCTCCCTCCTCTCCACCGTGCCCCTTTCCGAGTCCACTGATGGGGGGGACCTCCTCCCCATTCATCTGATCCTGTTTTATCAGGTATCTTCCGGACTGGCTGCAAAGCCCTCCTCTGTGGCCTAACAGGACTGTTCCTCCCTTGGGGGGTGGGGAGGTCAAAGAGCCAGTCATTGAGTTCCTGTTAGAAATACTTCCTCATCATGCCAGATTGGAGCCTTTCCAAAGTGGGAAAAAGAATTTCATTGACTCTATCCTCAGCATCGGTCCTTAATTTTAAGAATTCAGGTGTCAAGGACTACTGAGATAACACAAATGGTAAGGTGACTACAAACATGGTTACCTAATTTTGGGTCCCCAGTACACAAAAGCCGGTACGCATAGCCAGTAGTGGTGGCACATGCCTTTAAGTGTGGTGCTGGGGTTGGGAGTAGAGATAGGCAGATTCCTGCACCTCAGTGACCAGCCAGTCTAGCCAACTGGTGAGTAAAAGACCTTGTCTTGAAAACGAAGGCAGAGAATGAATGATTGAGAGAACACACTTGACACAGACCCATGGCCTCCACATTTACATGAACACATTCACCTGTGCCTCTATACACATACTCACACAAGGGGCACATGCAAACTGAAAATAATTTATAAAAGAGAACAGTGGTGAGGACATGATGCAAGAGTTCCTTCAATGGCAAGTGGCTATCACATCCTCAATGTTCAGGATGGATCCTGCACGGAGCAAACCGGCAAATTCTTACTACAGTCTCTGCATGTCCTCAACAGTAGAGTCCACAATCATCGAGAGGGACCGTACTGTACAGTGAACATCGGGTACAGCAGGAGCAACTCAGTTTGTGCCATTTCCCATCACTCCCACCATATCTTCAGACAGAAGCCAGCAACTGACCAGTGCTCTCTGCCAACTTCCTTGTACTGTTTGGTTTCTTAGCACTTAGCGCACTTCACCCATGTTTATTACCAGCCTGGGCCCTGAAAGTCTTGAAGTTTTGACAAGGAGTCTTGGAGAAAGGCTACGGTGGGATACGAGATGAGAAGGGATGAGAGCCCAGACAACTGAGATAATTTTAAAATAATCTAGATCCCTTTAAAATGCCTCTAGTTAGTCATGCATGACTCTACAAATATGGCTTCCTTTCTCCAACAGTTTCAAATGATGCCCGCTCATCTAGAGCAGAGGTCAGCAAGTATTTTCTCTGAATTGCCAGAGAGCAAATATTTCAGGCTCTGGGACTGTATGTTGTGTTGCAGATTATTATTGTTGTTGTTGTTGTTGTTGTTGCTGTTGCATAATAACACACACTGGGAATGGGGGGGTCAGACAATGGTATGCTCCAATAATACTCTTTATCCATAAACACTGGGAATAAATCAGATTTGGCTCATAGGCTATAATTTACCAATTTTTGAACTATAGAATAATCCAGACCTGTTTTCCTCTGAACATCATGCTAGTTCGGCTTAGATCAATGCTCTTGGATAAGTCACTTAATCCCTCTGGCCTCAGTTTCCGCATCTGTTAAAAGTGGGTATGATAGTACACTAAATAACACTGTTGATGTGAAAACTACAGTTTTACACATGGCTAACCCCATCAACTGGCTTTACCTGTCAGCCACCTCAGGGACCCACTCTTGTCCTACTCATTAAGATATGTTCAAACTCCTACCATTCTTGTACTACTTACTTAAGTGTGAAAGTTATGAAGGCTTCCTTCATCTCTCTTAGCCAAAAGTAATTTCTTGTTTTCTCAGTGGAAAAAAAGCACTTTGTGCCTCTCTTGAGATACTTAAGGGTCTTCATCTCAGAGCTAGGTGTCTTATTTCTTCTCTTCAGCCACTAGAACCATGTGATGAAATCAACGGGCCTTCTGGATTCCTGGGACCCTCCCTGTTTCACTCTCTGGCCTGAGTCTGCAGAAGTCAGTTCTTAGCACATATCTGAAGAATGAATGTCTCCCATCTTAATCAGTTGAAAAGTTTCATGAAGACTTATTGGTAGACTTACTTTCTTTATCGACTTTTGGGGAAAACATGCAAACATTTTAGAAGTCCAGTTTTAGCTATTGATTAGCCCAATGACTCCTAAATATGTAAAAGAAAGGGAATTGCAGGCCATCTGACATGTGCTAAATATTTTTACATGCCAACTTACATATGTGTGCCAGGATCCCTGAAGGTATACATCATACTTTACCCTCAAGGGAACTGATATTAGAGGAGTTATGTGACTGTCCCAGGCCAGGAGTTTCCTACCTCACTCAGGAGGTAAGGACATTCTTTTCTTTTTGCATTTAACTGAAGAGAATAGGCTGACTAGACAATTTCGAGCGACATAGATGTTCAACCTCCTTGATTCAGTTATTTAGGAACTTGTTTTTTTGTTTCTGGCTGAGATGTGGGTTCTATTTTTGTTTCTGGTCTCAACATTCACTTTAGAATATCACACAA